CATTCATTTATAAGTGTAGTTCTATACTTGTGGTGAGTTGACTCTGGCTGGATGCCAAGTGCCAGCCAAAGCTGCTCTGTTACACAATTCCCCTTCTCAGCCGAGCAAGGGAGAACAAATGTAATGAAAGGCTGATGGGTCAAGGTAAGGACACATACAGATCACTCACCAGTTACTGTCATTGGCAAAACAGACTCAACTTGGGAAAATTAATTTAACTTTTTACCAATCAAATCAAAATCAGGTAATGAGAAATAAAATACCTTCTCCTCCACCCCTTCTTCCCAGGCTTAATTTCACTTCTGATTTTTGTGCCTTGCTCTCCCTAGCAGCAGTGGGAGATGGGAAATGGGGGTTGCAGTCAGTACATCACACAGTTTCTGCTACTCCTTCCTCCTCGGATGGAGGATCCTTCACACCCTTTACCTGCTCTAGTGTGGGGTCCAACCCTTAGGAGATAGAAGCTCCTACAAGAACTTTTGCAATATGAGTCTTTCCCATAGAGTGCAGGTCTTCACAAACTCTCCAGAGTGGGTCCCTTCCACAGTCCTGCAGGAACAGACTGTTCCAACACGGGTCCCTCACGAGGTCACTAGTCCTGCCAGGAATCTGCTCCAGCATGGGCTTCCCACAGGGTCACAGACTCCCTTTGGCATTCACCTGTTCTGGTGTGCAGTTTTGCAAGGGCTGCAGGTGGATCTCTGCTCCACCACGAACCTCTGCAGGCTGCAGGGGGACAGCCTGCCTCATCATGGTCTTCACCATGGGTTTGTGTGAAAAAATTCACATTGCCAGAGGTTTATGTCCTGAAACAATACAGAGGTGTTCTGTAACTTTATTTATTAACAAAGGGACAGTCCATAGGGAATTTCTCCATGGGGTCTCTCAAATTATTGGAGGACGCAGCCTCCTTTTCACCCCAGTTTTCCTGGCTACATCACCCTCTCCCTTTCCCCATTGGCTAAGGCACTTGAAAGGTACAGACTTCCCAATTCACCTATTATATGTTCACCTTAACATGCACACACAAACACACACACACTTTGAATAACATAGCTCTATTAAATCTTTGCTCTTCTTCTCGAAGTTCAGAAATTTGCCATGACTTTGGCTGAGCAGCCTTCCATGCCAATTAGTAACATTTTCTCATGCTTTCTCCTGTTAAGGCCCTACCTACAAGTCCCTGGGCCCTATCTACAAGCAGGTTCACACCATCTGTTTGTAAAGACACATTCCTTTCAGGCTGCAGAGAAATCTGTACCTGGAGCACCTCCTCTCTCTCCTTATTCACTGTCCTTGTTGTCTGCAGAGCTGTTTCTCTCACATACTCTCACTCCCTTCCTCTCTGGCTGCAATTACTTCTCTGCAGGAACTTTTATTTTCCCTTCTAAATCTTTTATCTCAGAGGGTATCCCACTGTTGCTGCTGGCCTATGTCTTGGCAAACGAACGCATAATGCCACCTAAAAAATATGTCATGTTTGCAAGTAGAGGTACAGAGATGATAATTCTAACTAGTGTTAATAGAATCTTGCAATGAACTAGATTGATGTGGGGATTTTATTTAGTGCACATTTACAATACACTGCATAACGAATTATTACGTACCTGGGAAGATATCACCAATTCAAAGTTACTTAAGTCTATTTTTGTTGTTAATATGTAAATAACATTTGTTTTGACAATCTCTTTTATTCTGATATCTGCTCTTAAAAGTACCTCCTATGGGTAGAAAAATAATATTTGTAATTTCAATGACATTTTGGTAATATAATTTGCTGCCAATAATTCCATATTTTTGCAAATAGGGAATTGTGTACTTGAAATTCCTTCATTCCTTTCTATGTCTGGAGGCTATGTGCCTTTCAATTTTTGAGCTGAATATGGAATATAACCATATATAAACAATGCATATAGTGTTTCTGACTAATCTTCCAGTTTTCTGTAGCTATGGATTCTCTACCCTTCTCAAGGAAGAAAGAAAAACCCAAACTCAATATGAAACCTTAAGGCAAGGGTCAGTGAGCTTGAAAGATTTTGTAGCTGGATCATCAGCACACTGATCTGTACTTTAGGCACCTACTTAGAAGTGAAAGCAGAATTGCAGTGAATTAGAGTAATCATTTGCTTGTCCAGAAAATGCAGCCTGTCTTTGGTGAGGGGCTCTCAAAGGATTCATTACTCAGTTGTAGATGTGGTGTGTTTTGACTTATTTGCAACTGCAAAAGAAAACAGGAAAATGTAATTTTTTTGTTTCTATCAGTGTGCTCAGCTTTGTTTACCTTGGAAGATAGGTTCTTATTCCAAGACGTTTACAGTCTGAGATCAGATTTTGGCACCCTTGCTCATACTGAATAGCATTATTTAGGGCTCAGCTGCTGCTCATTCAGGTCAGATAGATTAGAGTTAGTCATCAGTTGAGATGGTGGTATTTGTCTAGAGCCCCGATGGTGATTCAAGCATCTTTCTATGAGGCAGTGATGCAAATGTTTTAATGCTGCTTCTAGCTGTTTATCTATACCTCTCTTTTATATGAGTACCATAAAAAAGCCTTTGCTTAAAAAAAGTGTTTTAAGAAAGAAACAGAATGAATGAAACTGTTTGGCACATGGAGGAGCAGAAGGAATTTTGTACAGAAAGATTAACTTAGAAAAAATCCCTGTATTCTGAACATAGTCCTCAGAAACAAGCCTTAAAGGCTGGCAGGTTTTCACCCGGCTGCCAATAGATGAGCAATGATTAGTTTGTCTTTTTAAACGTTGTCTCCTGCCAAACCCAAATCCCCTTCTCACTTTCCCAGTGCAGCAGTCAGCCTGCAGAATAAGGGAATGATGAGGTAGACAGTTGTGGTGTGGAAGGGATTCAAACAATGTGAATGAGATTTTGATCTTCTGGGACTTCTGTGAGACAGAGAGTGAAGAGGAGGAAAGACAAACTGGTCTTCATTTGCAGAAAAGGCTTTAATCTCTTCTGTGCTATATGGCTATGGCTGAGAGAGGAGTTGTCTTCCTGCTTATATTAAATTTCCAGACATTTAATTTTGACCAGATGCACTGTGCAATTATGGCAGCTGATGGATAGCTATAAATGAATTAGTCTTTGGCAAACCGAACTTTATTTCAAAAAAGATCAGCATCATGGAGGATACAGGAAACCAAATTTTGTGATGGGGTCAGTGCATTTTTTAAATGCTCAGATTTCTTGGCAGAATAAAAGAACGTATTAGTGCAAAGAGGCAAAGTATCCTCATTTCTAGGCATACGTCTGGAACAGACGCCTTGCTGCTCTTCCCACACAGCAAGGAGGACTCAATACCAATGGTGAAGTCTGAACGTTGCCTCTGTTTGCTGAACTTTCCTTTTTGCTGTGGTTCGTGTTGGGGTTATAGGTAGCATTCCTGTCACTGCCACCATGCTCCCCACACTAATTGTCATGAAGTACAGAAGATTCAAGCACGCTTGGTTCCCAAGGCTGCTAATGAGCCCTGAGCTTTTCTCACCCTTAATGAATCAAGGTTTGTTTATGGGGGATTCTTGTCCTTCTGTCTTTTTCCTTGGTCAGGGGAGGAGTCAAGAGTTCACACAACTGAACAATGACTTTACAGTGTAAAGACGATGCAGCTGTGCCATCTGAAGCCGTCCTCAGTTATAAGCAACAAAGCTTAAATAGATTGTACTGTGAGGAGGTATAGCTCTGTGAGTGTGAAGCATAGCTTTTGCTTCTGCTTCACTGACCTGTCTGCTTGCGGCAGTGACGGGCCCTGACGGGAGCTTAGGCAGGGAGAGTCGCGTAGGGCGACTCTTTCAAAACCATTCTCTGTAACACTGAGCGCAGGAAAAGAAGCAAAATGAAGTTTCAGTTGATCACTGATGGGGGTGTATTGCTGCCTTCTCCAGAAAATCTCATGCCCTCCATTCAAAAATCATTGATTCTAGTCCAAATCCACTTCGGGGTTTTAATAAGGTCACTAAAACAAGCCATAGTTCGTATGTTTTAGCAGTACGGAGTACTCATACAAAAGTGGATACTTACACAAACTCCTCCTAGGCAAATGAAACATTTCACTGTCTCACTACATTTTACTACTGTCTAGAGGCTTTTCTTGTATTAGAGGTTGGGATCACCACTAATTTGGACTAAACTACTGTTTGGCATCTACCTAATCCATCTTCATTTTTGCATTTCAGTTACAACACTATGTGCTCCCATGACTATATTAATCTTACTACAAACATGTATGTGATATGTTTTTGGCATATGTATACAGGTATATATGCACAAAAATATAGGTGTATATATATACAGCTGCATGTGTTCTTGAAATACATAGGAGTATATTAGTATTTTATATATATCATACATATATGTAGGATATCACATGCTAGAAGCATTATTCCTTGTGTTTATATCCATATATATATATTTTTGCACAAATAAGCACAGACATGTTTATTAATAGCACATCTAAATGCTGTATTATTGCTATAGTAGCAAGTGCAAATTTCAATGTGATAAAATAGCTCTTAATGCTATTAGAGATTATAAATTTATCAGTTATAATACTCTGGACTAATCCTTGCACAATGACATACAAAGCTGAAGAATTTTTTTTTTAAGTTTTACTAATAGACGAGTGAAGCCAAAAGAAGCATCTGCAAAAGAAATCTAATTTTACTGTAATAGACTGTTTGAAGTTCATCATTTTGGGGTTTAATAATGCACAGAAACATCTGCTGTTTCCTTGATTGCATGAAAGAGAAAGGGAAAGGGGAAAAAATGAAGAATATTTTGGTTTTTTTCATTCTTAAGTGAACAGAAAGGGGTGAAATAAAACAGTTTAAATACCTTGATATGTGTATGTGCAGGTTCAAAACTTTTGATTGCTCTCCCGCCCGGCATGGTGGGTTGATAGACCAGGGAGCAGTAGCGAAAGTTGACAACCCCCCATGGCTGACCCCTCATGTTTTCTCTTGCCTAATCGAATTTTACATGTGTTTCCAGATAGCTGATCAGCTTCCCTGGATTTCGCTGACACCACAGGAAAGCTTTGCCTGAAGATGGAAACACTGGAGTCAGAACTGACCTGCCCTATCTGTCTGGAGCTGTTTGAAGACCCGCTGCTGCTGCCTTGCGCTCACAGCCTCTGCTTCAACTGCGCGCACCGCATCCTGGTCTCCCACTGCGCCACCAACGAGCCGGTGGAGTCTATCACCGCCTTCCAGTGCCCGACCTGCCGCTATGTCATCACCCTCAGCCAGCGCGGTCTAGACGGGCTCAAGCGCAACGTCACCCTGCAGAACATCATCGACCGGTTTCAGAAAGCCTCGGTCAGTGGGCCCAATTCCCCCAGCGAGACCCGCCGGGAGCGGGCGTTCGATAACAACAGCATGTCGTCCTGCGAGAAGGTGCTCTGCCAGTTCTGCGACCAGGACCCTGCCCAGGAGGCGGTGAAAACCTGCGTTACCTGCGAGGTGTCCTACTGCGAGGAGTGCCTGAAAGCCACTCACCCCAATAAGAAGCCATTCACCGGCCACCGTCTCATCGAGCCTATCCCGGACTCTCACATCAGGGGATTAATGTGCTTGGAGCATGAGGATGAGAAAGTTAACATGTACTGTGTGACTGATGACCAGTTAATCTGTGCCTTGTGTAAACTGGTCGGGCGACACCGTGACCATCAGGTGGCAGCTTTAAGTGATCGCTATGACAAGCTAAAGGTCAGTGTTACCTATCGGTTTTTTTAGCCAAGAAGTGTGTGGTTGGGAAGGAAAATACCCTTTGGTTGCATGCTAAAGTCCTCATTCCGACAGTGGTTGGGAAAGGCAGATGAGCGATCTCTAATATGAGATACACAGATCTGTGTGTGTGTTTGCTCACCATGTAAAAGGTGCCAGATTTCACTTAAGAAAAAGTTCCTCACTTGTGTTTGGGTTTCTCTAAAGCTATCATAAGAAATATGCAGTGTAAAGTACTGTTTATGTGAATTTTCTTATCTACCTGCAGCTGGCAAGGTTTAGCACTGACTACACATACTCAGACGCTGATTGAAATGTCATGCATTCTTTGCATACGGTTTGCTGTTGATTATTTTTCATTAGGTTGCTTTCATTGTGAAAAGTCCTTCACATCGCCACTAAGAGGAGATGCATTTATCTGTGCTGGATTCTGGGATGCCAGCTGCCCATCCAGCCAGGGAAGCCAAACGCTGACTCTGCTCTTCCTGTGCTGCCTCCCACCAGGCTTGCAGGCAGTGCAATCCTAGAAACGAAGTCAAAATTGTTTCTGATCTTACAGCATTCCCACATTTCCGCAAGCTTCTGGCACATCTCCTGCCAGGTAGCTCAGAGGCTCCTGCAGCCTGGCCCTGTGCAGGCCCCCCGGGGTGAGGTGGCAGTGGGCAGCCAGGTCTCAGGGTGCTCTGGAGCCTCTCCAGGCTGCCAGCAGAGGCAGAGCTCCTGCTGAACATCGAGGCCAAGGCAGGTGACCTCACACCCACCTGAGTGTACATTTCTCTCGTGCTGATTCCTGTGCTGCTGCAGAGCCAGGGCAGGAATTAGGCATCCCGCACTTTCCTCCACCCACTCCCTCCGGACGCTCTGCATGCCCGTGTGAAGCTGTGGGGGAGTTTTCAAACACGGACTGCAATCCAGAAATCACAGACATGGGGAGCAAGGTTTATCTGCCTGACTTCCCACACAGAATTTTGAACGTGGAAAAGAAACTGAATTATAGGTTTAACTAACTTAAATACTTTCAGATTGAAGTATGTGGCCGCACTCATATCTATGATAACTTTAGGTGCTAGCTGGTGAAATTTGCACACACATTCTGTGCAGGTTTTGCATCTCTGTGCCATGCAAACATGCACATCATATTCTATGATTATATTAACATAAGACAATTCTTTACCTGGACCTGATAATTTCCTTTAATCTCTTAAAGACCTTTTTATTTACCAAAGAGTTGTTATTTTTGCTTTTTTTTTTTCCTGAAATAATTTGTTATTTTAATAGTTTTGTCATTGGCAACATAAGCATGGGCCATAAAGGTGAATAGCTGTTTGGATTTACTGTGCTTTTTATTAATTCAGTGGGTTTACATCCTTAATAGGTGCTACTATTTAGTGGCATAACTATGTATTGATTACCAACTTTATAACAGTAGGTATATACTACTTAACATAAAAGACTTTCAACATTAAATACTGGATAAATGTATTTTTGATTATGTAAAAAAAAGGTAGTAAATATTTTTTGGTCTTGGTGTACATAGATAATGCAAGTCTTGAAAGAAGACTTTAAAAGGCCTCTCTTCTCCCTTGTGATCAATTCTGACTCAATACTGTTGCTAGGAAGAAAATGAGTGCATTTTTTGCATGATCTGTCTTTTCTGTGGAAAGATGACTAAGCAAGCTCTGAAGGTGTGTCTCAAAAAGACAAATAACGTTCATATTAGATGTCACAGTTTACCTAACCTAAAAGTAAGGCAACTAAAGTTTTAAGCCTACTAAAGTTCTTTTAGCCATCAGCCACCCTGAAGACTAAAGTACTAATTTAATGGTTAGTGTGGACTTGAGCCAAATAACTCTGAGAAAGAAAACTCCTAGCATTATTTATATTATTTGTATGATTTTTCTGAGATGCGTAATTTCTTTGTACCCAAACTGTATGAAAGACGTTTATACACGCAATTATTAGTCTATGTGAAGTCCTGTTGCAACATCTTTGTCATGAAGCAGGCTATTTCATATTGCTAATGCCAGTGATGGCATCAGTCATGGCAATTATACCACATATATGACACATCTATGCTGTGGTCCAGGAACATTAGCCCAGGTGGTTTTCATGCAGATCCAGCATCCATTCTCTGTTCACAAGAAGGTAATCTGAAAGTAATGCCTCCCCTTTCCTCATTACCTCTCCTGTCACAGCAATTAGGTCTGGTTTACAAATCAATCTTAGAAAGTTAGACTTCCAGTTCTGTAGATTGGCATTTATCCCTCAGAAGTAAAGGAACCATACTACACTAATTACTTACATTTTCTTGCAGTGGTATTGCTAGTGGTTTAAACAATATTGCACCCCTCATCGAGTATAAGACAAAAGATGCTGTTACAATCTAGTTCCTTTAGTGGCAAAAATGAAACTCCTTAACTCGGAGTCCTGTACACTTGTTCAGCAGAGGCGTCTACACTGAAGTGTGTTTAGCCGTGAGTGTAACAACAATTGTGGACATCTCAAAATGAGAAACTGTTTTCCTTTGGAAATTGTATCTCTATCCCTGAGAGTGCTTCTATTTCTCAAGTTGTGCTGGGGCAGAGGGGATTGAGGGCATTTGTGTTCCTTCAGGGACAATCCTTTCTTGCTTAGCTGCCCAACCACGATACCACCTTCATGCTCACTGTTGGTTTAATGTTTATAGATGCACTTTGGTTTTTGTTTTGCTTTTTAAAGTTGATCATAGACAGATGCATATTAGTAGTGGAAAAAGCAATAAACCTCGACTAAAACAGTCAACAGGAAATATACTGGTAATAAGCTAGATTTATGATGCGGTCATCAAAATTGTGACAAAAATAATTTCTAGCAGCAAAAGTAATCAAGGTTTTAAATATAGAAAGAATAAATTCCTATGCTTACTACACCATATTACTTCAAAGAAAATATTTATGTCTATTTACTTTTGATATTGATCCTTCACTTTTTGTCTTGTTGCAATAAAAAGAAAATGGCAATTTAAACGTCCATTATTTATTTATTTTTCAAATAAAAAAATAAAAATACAATTGTTTGATAGATATATTTAAACTCATGAACATGAGGGAAAACCCAGTAAGATAAGATTTATTTTGAACAATAGAGAATATTTGAGGAGGAACAAACTTTTAAGGTGTGGATGGAAATATATCACTCATTTACTATAACCAAAGAGGCATGAAGAGGTTTTCTCAAACGGAAAAGATAGATGGCAAAATGTATTTTGAAATGGTGTAAAGTCAGCATAACACCATTGAAACTAATTTTTTTACTTGTCTTCATATTTACTTAGAATTTAGCCTCTAACATGTATCTTCTTGCCAAAAAATAGTTTTGGCACAATTTTTCTAATGCTTGATCAAGAAAGTTCTTTTGCTGAATCAAACTGTTGTAGCTTAGCTTTGGTTCGCCATATTTTTGTTTGAAATTTATTAATGTGGAGTTGTTTTGGGCGTGTTTATGAAGCAGGGCAGCTCTCTGAATAGCAGTCAGCAATTCCAGAAACAAAAGGATTTCTCGTTTGTCTGGTTTCCAGCTAGTTTTAGTGGTAGAATCCATGCACATCTATTTTTCCTACTCTGTTGATTCAGGATGCAAGGATGACTTTTTCTATTGTGTGTCAATTCAACTACTCACGAATATTAAAGGAATAGGAATTGTTTCCACATAGGGAGGAATTAATTCATCTTTTATAAACCTTTGACCATATAAAGGTAGGAGACTTTGTCAAGTCCACAGCTACTACAAATAGAATCCAAAAATTAATCTTCTTCCATGCTATATACACATTATCAATTAAAAAAACTTTTCATATTTAAATAACTTTGCGATGATTCTGGAAAAATACATGTTGAAGATTTCCAAGTATTTTTATATGGCATTTTTTTTAATGTCTGTTTGATAATTAATTGATATATTGTGATATTATAACAATCCAGAATTTTAAAATATGTATTCCTACAAAATGTGGGCTTGACAATCCAGGAACATTGTTTTCTGGACTTTCATATAAATGTAGTATTCACATATATGTTAATATATATATATCTGTATACATCCTATGCCTGTATTTGCAGTGCTTGTGTCAGTATATAAAACCAATACTAATATTGCATAATAGAATATGTTGGCATTTATGTCTATGTAAAGTTGTCTAGCATAGAAATATGGGTAATTGTCAACAATGTCTTACTTAAAGAATATCTAGAATCTTGAATTTGAAGGAACACATATATGCCTGTGTTTTAAGTAAAAATGTACAGTTTCATATATATGTGTGTCAGTAAGAGTGTAATCATAGTCAAAAGTTTAATCATTATATATAAACTATACAGCAATAGATTTACTCGTTATCTATTTTTACAATTCTGTGCATATATCCTTTTTAGTAGCTGAATGTTTTCATATAGAAGTTTATACTTTCTCTGCATACCCTTTACTAACTTTCTATTTAATGCAAACTATTTTAATAAAATCCAACCAATACTGATGCCTTTTTGCTTGTACTAAAATCAAAACCAGACACAGTTGGGTGACAAAAAGGGGTTACCATTTTAAGGATCAGTAAATCCTTAGGTGCACAACTCGCTAGACAGAAAGCACCGAAGATGCACACATAACATAGAGCGCATACAATTTTTGTTTAGCAAATTACCATAACTGACAAAAACCCCCAATTAGAGACATAAATTATGAGGTAATTCTTCCCTGGTTCTCCCCTTTTCTGAATTCTCCCCCACCGTAGATAGGAACTAAACTTTGTTCATGACAATGTGTCTCAGAGAGCTGTTTACAACCTCGGCTTCCCAAAGAATCTAACCTTAGACCCCCAGGGCTTGGAGCCATTGGCGAATTTATTTTGTCTTTCTGTCTAATAGAGTAGGTAAAGTGCTAGTTATAAATACAAGAATTGGCTACAGAGCTACAAGATTATATGCAAAGAATATAGAGAATATATAAAA